ACAATTTCGCAGCAAAATGGCATCTGCACTGAAGAAAATTGCGCTCTCCTCAACTTGTTCTTCACTGCCCTCCATTTCCCCTCACAAGCACAATAATTCGAGGTTTATTACCAGGATAGGTCGCGAAAATCCTCGGAAAGGCGCCGTCTTTTTCGCCTTTTCTCGCTCATATTCATCTCGGGTAAGTCTCTGGAAAATTCTAGCTCAAGGGGTGCTCTATAACGAATTGAAGTAAAGGTGCAAAATTGGTGCGATTTAGAATTGGAATTAGAATAACAACTCGAGGCATTCGCATTTAATGGATTTTTTTTTTTTTCTTTTGATGATTTTCGAGTTCTTTTATGTTCTGAAATGGGCATGAAGAAGATGCTAGATTGATGAAATTAAGGTTTGCTTAGCTGCTATTACATAGTCCTGTGCGTGTTTCACTGAAAAAGATGGCTGTGTTATGGTGATCCATAGCTTTAGATGTGAGTTTGTTGTTCTTTCTTCTAACATATGGGTTCCATTTACAAGATAATTTTTTTCTTTTCCCATTTGGGTTTGTGATGATTTATAACGATTGTGATAGGTTCGGCTCGAAAACGTGTATACAGAAATGACTTTCAAATGGGTCGTTGTATTATATATGGCTGTGATCCACGGTTGTAGATGTGAGATTGTTGTTCTTGCTTCTATCAAACGTGTTCCGTTTGCAAGATAGTGTTTTTCTTTTCCCATTTGGGTTTGAAATGATTTATGACCATTGTGATAGATTCGGCTCGAAAATGTGCATAAAAGAATGATTTTCAAATGGGTTGTTGTATAATATATGGCTGTGAGCCTTTCAGCTGTAGATGTGAGATTGTTGTTCTTGCTTCTAACATATGTGTTCCATTTGCAAGATACATTTTTTTTTTTTTTCTTTTCTCATTTTGGTTTGTGATGATTTATGAAGATCGTGATAGGTTCGGCTCGAGAATGTGCATACAAAAATGACTTTCAAATGGGTCGTTGTATTATAAATGGCTGTAATCCTCAGTTGTAGATGAGCTGTAGATGTGAGATCGTTGTTCTTGCCTCTAACATATGTGCTCCGTTTGCAAGATAATGCTATTCTTTTCCCCTTTGGTTCTGTGATGATTTAAGTCAAGGCGTAATTCCATTTTTTCGTCTTGTTGCTTTAACGCCATAGCAATTTTAATTCCAAGGTTCCAACATTTTGCTTTTTGGTCTTGTGATTTAATATTTTGTTGCAATTTTAGTCCTCAAATTGCAAATTTTCGACTAGCAATATAAGTCCTGTAATTTTAATTGTTGTAATTTTAGTCCTCAAAGGACTGAATTGCAAAATAGTAAATCAGGCGAAAAGTCGGAATCTTGGGGCTAAAATTGCTATGATGTTATACCAACATGACTAAAAATGCATTTTTGCCTTTAAGTCAGTCATTGTAGGTTCGGTTTGGAAATTTGCGTACGAGGATGAAACTTTCAGTGGGTCTTTGTATAATATTAGTAATGCTAGGGAGCCAATTGTTGGCTCCCTAACGGAGCCAACAGCCAATGGAACAGCTCCATGTGGGGTTGTCCCACATTAGAGTCATGTGGGACAGCCCCACATGGAGCTGTATAATTGGTTGTTGGCTCCATAACGGAGCCAACAGTTGGCTCCTTAGCATTACTGTGTATAATATATGTTGTCTCTGTATTTTTCCATGTTTTTTTTTTCTTAAAATTTTTTTCTTAATGCTGTGGAGTTCATTAATCTCGTGAAATCGGCAGGCTATGGCTTGTGATGTTGGAAATGTCCAGAGGCAGATTAGTAGTCTTGAATCTCTCTTTTGTTACGATAAACCGATTCCCGAGGAAATAATTGAGAAACCCGTTGGTTTATCTCTACCCGAGAAAGATATCGGGGAAAATCCTCGATGCACGAACTGTCAGACGAAAGGGGCAATTCTTTGCGCCACTTGTTCCGGTTCGGGCTTATATGTGGATTCCATCTTGGAGAGCCAAGGAATAATTGTCAAAGTTCGATGTTTAGGTAAAACCTCCTAACGTTAAAAAAACTTTTGGAATTGGCTTTTTGCTCGTCTGTGATGATAATTCTCTAAATGTAGCGGCACAATATTTGGGTTATTTCTGCATAATTTGCTTTTCGATGAAGAGGTTTGTATTACTGTCCTTGTGGAATTTAAGATCGTTTTTGGTGCATTAAAAGAAAAGTTATGCTAATGGGGATTTTTGAATCTTGATTAGATCTGTAAACGAGCAGAGTTCGAGCTTAAGGTGCTCGAGGTCGAGCCAGAAATGAAGCTCGAGCTCGACTCGTATATCACTATTAACGAGTCGATTTATTCCCAATATACGTGACGGCCAAAGTACACTTAATATCTTTACCTAATAGAATTGGGCATTTCCAGAAGTTACTAAGCTACAAATCATGAACCCCTAAAAGTTACGGCCAAAAAATAACTGCAGTTAATACCTGTCTAAAGCTCCGATGAAGTGTGGTAAAGTTATATTATGACGAATTATAGTGATCGAGAATTTTGACTTAACCTGTGTGTTAACATTCAGGTTGTGGAGGAACTGGGAATATTATGTGCTCCGAATGTGGTGGCCGGGGCCACATTTGACCGGGCTTCTATGAACAAGGTTTGCTTCTCCCAAAACCAGTTGCATCTTAGGATGTAATAAAGAGCGATATGTATGCTTTTTATGTTGTGTGTTAATCAATTTGTTGTATCAGATGATGAACCAAAGTGAAATTGGTTTAATATAATGCAACTTTATTGATTTTTCAATGATGAAATCCAACAGAAATATATTCCAATGAAATTCAACCGACAATACCAATGAATATTCCAGTGTTATTATTTTCGTTGGAATTTTTCAATGCACACCAACAGAAATTCCCACAAAAATATAATGTTGGAATGAATTTTCCATTAAAATTTCTAATGTTGGAATGAATTTTTCTGCAGACCCATACCATTTATTTTTTGCTAAGATAATAAAATCATGTTTAAGTAAAAATTTAGGCAAAATTGCAATTTTAGTCCTGTTGGTTTTATCCAGTGGCGTTTTTAGTCCTAATAATTGAACATTTTTGCTATTTGGTCCTATGATTTTAAAATTCAACGCAATTTTAGTCCTCTGAGACTGAAAATACAAGAAAATTTAAAATTACAGGAAAAGATTTTTTATGAATAATTTAAGTCCTGTGATTTTAAATTTTTTTG